CGTGATCTGTTTGTTTTGTAGGCCATCCGAAGTTGGCTTTTTGCTGAGCAGCCTTAGAATTAAAAATTAAAAATAAGTAAATGTCCAAGGGGTCATCAGCAGTCAGTTGAGGAAGCTTCAGTTGCTATTACTGTGAGATTATGTGAATGGAGGCATTATCTATCATTCTTCATTCAATCAGTAAAATTTTTCAGTCAGCCCTGGCTAATAATCACCGGTACACAGATGTATCCTCTGTGAATATCCCCCTTTTAAAGTCTTCTAAACCAGGGCTTTTGCCACACAGAAACAGGAAATTCCATAACTTAAAAATGTTCTGTATTATGTAGTCATTTTCTTTCACCTGGCTTGACTCTGTTATCCATTGGTGTCAAGGAGTTCCTATGATTTCAAGTATTGAAAGTTATAGGGATAAAATGTTATATATTCTCTTCATCTTGCCTATACAAATGTTACCTCATAAGTTAAGGGTCAAATTCTGTTATTGTAGAATTAATTGGTAACTGGCATGTGGCCTTTAATGTTTAAAGTCCCGTTTCCCTCTCCACCACCACTGCAGTAGCTTCTGCAAGGCTACTTAGCTTTATAAAATTTGCTCCTCTGGAGTTCATTCAGCAAGGGTAGGCAGCCCATGAGGTATCTTGGTTGGTACCTGCTTGGCTCTCTGATATAGGAAGCTGATAAGTGGCAAAGCAGAGCACCAGCCTCAAGCATCAACCTTACTTGCAAAAAGCAAGGACGTAGGCATTCTGGGATAACAAAAATGAAGGGTGGGTGCATTCCAGAATTTTGTTTAGAAAAGGGCTGACCTGTTATAGCCTTCCATGATGTAGTCTCATATTCATGCATGTATTCATTGCTCTCTCCCCCACCCCCCAATATTCTATACTGTAGTTTAAAATTACATTATTATTTTCATAGTGATGCCCAACAATCTTGCAGTCAAATGCATATTTAGCCACCTTGTGGCAAGTTCATTTCTGGGTATAAGGGAAGTTGTCACTGTAATAATTACTACTACTTGAATTCCATATTTTGCAACTTCAGTAAAGCTGTGCCTACCAAGTGCTGTGGAAAACCAAGATAGAAAGATGTCTGTCCCCCAACTCCAAATCTGAAGTTATAAATAGACAAATCAGTTGTGATAAAGTTGCTTAAGCAAGAGAGTCCTGTCCACTCTGTGAGTCATATTCCATAGTACAATAGTGTGCCAGAAAGAGTCAAGTGAAAAATATAGTCATGATAGGTAAAAGTCAAAAAGAACTGGGTATTCAAAGCAAAGTTTTGGTTCCTGGCACAAGGCCACAAAGTTTGTAGCCATGAATGCTGTTCCACTGACCTGTCCTATGAGCTATATGTGCCTTATGTGCTATGTTCCTAAGTCCCTCCCAGTGTTGATTAATTTGCAGCTGATACCCAAACAGCCTGGTCTCACAACCTCGCTATCTAGCCACACTCAGAATTGATGTCCTGATTCTATGGTCTCCACTTCTCAGCTCTTGGCCACCATTTCTTCTTCCTTGGTATCAGACCAAGAATGATATAACACAAGGTTATTGCTTTCATGTCTTGTAGGAACTTCTTATAATGTCTGGATGGTCCCTTTATCACTGATAAAGTCTTTGAGACTTGATTTCTGGAGACATGTCCATGCACAGTAGTTGTCTTTGCAGTAGAATGGAAGTGGAGTTTTCTTCCAGGGTGTTTTTTGACCTCCAGTTCAGACTACAGCTTGGGGATTTCCTGGTAGTTTCCCATCAAAGTGCTAAACAAGACAAGACTTACCATAGCTTTTTGAGATCAGCCAAAATCAACTACATGGAACTATCTAGCTGGTTATTTGAGAATACATATATTTAACTCTATAGATCAGCCTTCACTGTTGGTTCTGCTGATTGGGAATTATAAGAATTACAGCTCAACACATTTCAAGGACACCACATTTAGAAGGTTGCTGTAGTTTGACCTAGCAAGGCAATAAATATTACTGCATTCTCACTGATAA